TCCACTTCTCTCACTCTCCCGGCGACGACGTACTCTCCTTACTCCACGAAAGACGACGAATAATGGTGAAAAAAGGCAAGGAACCGGCGCGCATGGGTATGAACTCACTGCATTCTGTAATATATACTCTAAATAGACCTTTTTGTGTGTTTTAATTGATGATCGGTGTATAGTAAATAGGTAATTAGAGTATTTTCAGTGCCCTACATGCTTCCACTCGTCCATATCGTTTTTGTTCTGTGCATTGTCAATGGCATCGTGTAATATATTTCAATAAATACTGGTGTAATGGTGTATTTTTTCATTGTGCTTGTGTGTTGACTGTAGTGTACATTTCAATACCTACTGGTGTATTCTGACATACCTCAGTTGAGTATTGTAACCAACATTGTTGTGTGTTTTTCTTTGATATTGGTGTATTTTTTCATTGTGCTTGTGTGTTGACTGTAGTGTACATTTCAATACCTACTGGTGTATTCTGACATACCTCAGTTGAGTATTGTAACCAACATTGTTGTGTGTTTTTCTTTGATATTGGTGTATTTTTTCATTGTGCTTGTGTGTTGACTGTAGTGTACATTTCAATACCTACTGGTGTATTCTGACCTACCTAAGTTGAGTATGGTAACCAACATTGTTGTGTGTTTTATTTTGATATTGGTGTATATTTCACTAAGTAATATTGTATTCTGGACTACATCACTTGAATATAATAAAAAACATTGTTGTGTGTTTTAGTTTTATATTGGTGTATTATTTCTTGTGTTTGTGTTGTTGATTGTAGTGTATATTTCAATAAGTAATAGTGTATTCTGGACTACATCACTTGAATAGAGTGAAAAACATTATTGTGTGTTTTAGTTTGATATTGGTGTATTTTTCAACATTGAGCTTATATCATGCAGACACCAAGAGGAAAACATTAGAACTAGAAGATCCCCCTGCAACAAAACAAATAAGGAGGCAACAAGCCCTTGACTTCCTTGATAGAATCGAGTCTGAGCTGCAAAATGAAGATTCCGAGCAACAAAATCAAGATGAGTCCAGCTCAAATGATGAGGAAGATGTACTGGATGTTGAAGACAAAGAAGCTGACCTGAAGATACGACCCCTTCCCACCCAATTAATGAACCCAATTGCAGACCTAACTGATCCCCAACGCAGAAGTGTAGAAGATATTGGACTAGGGAGACTTCTTGACCTGAATATAACCAATGTCCCAAGGAAGTTGGGGCTCTGGCTTGTTCAAAACTATGACGCTAGGAGCAACACGTTAAACCTGCCAACTGGTGAACGACTACCCATCATAGAACATGATGTTGCTGCCACAATGGGGCTGCCGATGGGAGGCATTGAAATTGTTAAAAGGGCATCCAAGGAAGTGTCTACACTATTGGCTGGCTGGAGAGCAATGTTTGGAAAGACTAACGGCCACATCACCCCCCATATTATGTCTGAGCATATGTTGACACTAAATGCTACTGATCCTTGGTTCAAAAGGCAGTTTGCACTGCTTGTAATGAGTGTATTGGTTGAGCCCCAAGTCAATGGTTATGTCAACCAAAGCTACATTGACAACTTCCAAAATGTTGACAACATCAAGAATCTAAATTGGTGAAGAATGCTCATCAATTCGCTCATCACCAGCAAGCAGTCATGGCTGGACAGTGTTGATGGGAGATACGGAGGACCAATTATTTTCCTGATGGTAAATATACTACCAGCAATATGCATCTAATTTATTACCCACCGATCAATTAATACTCTAAAATGCAAAATGCAGATATTCTATGTTAACCGTGTGGTGCTCTACCGGAGGACAGTCCCAAGAAGCTTCCCTGCCATGAAGAGCTGGACATTTAAGCTGCTCCGTCAACGAGAACAAGCAGAGATAAAATCTGGTGGCTTTGGATATGGCCGTCTTGAAGATGCCTTGCCATTGGACAGCACACCGTTCAAAGAAGGAAGTCCCCCCCCCCCCCCTCCCCCATTGATACAATCTGATGTTCGACCCCAACCACTGGCTATTGAAAGTAATGCACCACTTCCCACTGCGTTACAGGTAAAACAGACCACTTGAGTCACATTCATGGTGTACTCCCTTATATCTCTTTTACTGTTTTTAAACCTATTGACTGTTGTGCATCTTACAATGCGGTACCTTAATCAGTTTGTGTGAATAAGATAATGTACTCTAATGGTGTGCTTCTTAATAGTATTTAGTGCATATTTTGAAATACATTGGTGTGTTTTATTATATCCTTGATGTGCATATGCAGGAGTTTGTTGATGAGATTACTAGCAACACAAGGACAATTGCAACAAGTTTGCTGAGAATATCCAGACTGATTGAAAATGCACCTGCTGCTGTTTTGGAACATCATACATTCAAGCAAGTTTTTGAGTCTGCTAGACAAATGCTAGGATTCAAAGCACAGGAAGATGGACAAATGACATTTACCCAAAGCGAAGACGCCTACTGGAGTGACCCTGAGTTTCTGAAAGCAGTTGATGAGATTGTACGTGCGGTGAACAAAAGGAACTTCCTAAATGATATACCCTCTTTCAGCCTGGGATTGTCACAGGATGAACCAAACAAAAGCTGGGCAGATGTGAGTGAAATTGCACGTGACTACCAGGATGTTAACGAAGCTCATGAGCCTGCTGAAGTTCAGTTGGGTGTGGATGATGATCAAGCAGCAGACAGACACCAAGAATGCCCTGAGACAGCTCAACAAGAACCCCTCTCTGACCACCATAAACAGGCCTTGCATGATACTCACGCAGCTGACACTAATACTGAGGTAATAAACTATAATAAATCCAACATTAACACACTATAAAACCTGATGCTCTCACCTTTAAATATTACAGGTCACACCAAAATGCCAAGGGCAGCCAGCCCCTGCATCGAGTCCACCCCCCCCCCCCCACCCCAACCAGCAGACAAGGGAAAAGGTCCAGCTAGAGTGCACAGCCCAATTGCACGAAGACCGATCACATACGTGCTTGACATTGACACACCATTATCTGCAACAGAGGAAGCTATCAGGCAATGGGTGTTGAAAATCCTAATCCAAATCTGTAAGCACAACACATTCTAGAAACAATGGTGTGCTGTTTATATATATTTGGTGCATTATATAATGATGTTGGTGTATAAATATCCTATGCACATTGATGTGTTATTCTATGTGATATTAGTGTATATTATGTTAACTATTGGTGTGTTTATACTAAATGATTAGTGACTGATTGTGTTTTATACCTAACATATTTCTTTTGTTTTCAATAGGACCCAAGAACTGTTCAAGTATGAAGGAAGGGTAATCTATTGGGAAGATATGCTGTCAATGAGGTCAGATTCACAGATCCCATTCTCTATAATTGATGCTTGGGCAGCCATAATCAACATCCGTGAGTCAGAAAGAGGATGTACGAAGTTCATTGCTTCGTTGTGGACAACAGTGAGTTGAACATATAAACCTAGCTTCAACTTTAACCAGCTTACAGTTCTAACAAAAATACCCTTACAATTTGCAGTTGTACACCGTTGTGGACCCACAGGGAGATGAGGACGTTAGATTTGCAAGATTCAAATCAAAGTACCTTGAAGACAAACTCATCGCTGGCGACGTTAGGTGGAACAGCATTCTATACGTAAGATGTTAATATACATTTGATGCATCCTACTGTTTATCTATTTGTGGTGCATTACCAAGATTCGTACTAACCCCCGTAAAAAACATATCTTTTTTCTATAACAGTTTTTGTTTCCAATTGTATCATGCAACCACTACTACCTGCTTTCCATTTGCCCACTAATGGAAAGATTTGACATTAATGACAACTCTTCTGTCACTGTGAAGAAAGAAAACAAGTATGGGACTGTGCTTGCAAATATGGTAACGCACTAAACCCTGTCTGATTACATATAATTACTGCACAACTACAACAAAAAATGCTCAGATTGTATTACTTGATGCAGCAAAAATTCTTGTCAAGGTTCTTGTCTGACCTGAAATCCTCATACAAGGATGAGAAAGTGAACAAGGTGAAATCTAAGATAATGAAAATGCCTTGGAGAGATGCACACAACAAGGTAGATTGTGGGATCCTTCTCATGCGACATTTAGAGACTTTCCGAGGGCAGACATATGATCAGTGGCAGTGTGGACTTCAGAAGGACAACAAGGATCAGTTGAACAAGCTACGAGTTCGATACATGGTTGCCCTAACCATGTCAGACTTAAATGAACACAAACATAGAAACATTCAGCAGGCAGCAGAGTTCCGGCTTTGAGCATGACATTAATGTGGAAGAAAGACACTGTGAATATCTCTGACTTGACATGTTTTTTGTGGTTTTTGATGACCAGCAGTTAATTTTTGTGATGCCAGACATCTAATCTGACAACTACATGTGCTCTTTTTGCGCTATAACAATGCACCATATGCTATAGTAAAACGCACCATGATATATTCTAACATGCACAAATATTTCTGTGTTATAAAACGTCTGCATACCTGTAAAATACACCAACCACACAAGTAAACACACACCATTGATATTTATTAGAATCAATTTACATGATTCAGTATACACTATTCTGACTGTAATATACACTACATTCAAAACCATAATACATGGTTGAATATATATAAATATGCACCACTATATGACTGAAAATGCACCACTGTTTATTATAAAATGCACAATACCAACCACACTCCAAAAAATCTGATTCTGTGTTATGAATCATCTGCATACCTTTAAATACACCAATCACACATATAAAACACACCACAATCACACATGTAATTCAGAATACACTATAAAATACACCAAATTGTGTGTCAAAACGCACCGTTATGTATTGTAAAACGCACAATTCCACAATGTCTACAAAATCCGGATTCTTTGTGTTATAAAATGTCTACACAACTGTAAAAACATCAAATTCCACAATACAAACCAACTAAGAAAACAACACAAAACTCTAGCCATTTAATGGGCACGTCCTACTATTATGGCCATATTCATCACAAGTATGGCATTTCCTGGATTGCTTTACGCACTTATTCACAGCTTTCTCCCTTGCACTCTTCATCCGCTTCCCGCCGCCCTTGTTCTTAGCTTTAATTGGATCACGCACCTCCACTGTTGACCCCTGAGACACATCACCACAAAATAATTTAATCACACTTTCTTTGCTGCTACTAGCTACCCCATTGTTATCCTCACACCCATCTTTGATAAAAAAAAAAAAAAAAACTCCCTTTGCTCACAAATAACACGTCTTAGTTTTTCGAACCGTTCTACATTACCATCAGCCAATCCCACGCAAGCATAAATTTCAGACCACATTAGATTAGTAAGCACCCTAACATTGTCCACTTTAGCCGATTGGTCAACAACCGTATCATCAATATCAAATATTGGCTTCAAACTGGCACCTTTTGTCCACTGAGACACCAAATACATAGAAGGAATTCTCTCAAGTCCACGATCTTTAAACACAAAAAAAAATATGCATACACACCAACCACATCCGCTCAAACATCTTGCATGAACATATAGCACTACAGTCAGCCAACAAAAACTCCACAGACCATGCCTTCTTGTCACCATCTTTTATCCCATAGCACACCTTACCCTCGCACTCACACAAAGACACCACTCGACAAGAAAAACAACCTTCACAAATCTCTACTTGCACATCATAAAATACAGAAATGGTATAGACATCCATTGCATGTTTCTCCAGCGCCAATGGAGTCTTCAAAACAGGAAAGCATGATTCAGAGTCAGCAGTCAATTTTGCTTGGGCATGTCGTTGTGCACTAATAGCACTATCAAAATGCACCAAAAACCCAACCAAACTGGAATGACCATTGGAGAAACTGCCAAAAAAACTATTTTGAGACTCTGATCGAGATGTTGTCCTAACAAATCCCGACATAAACTCATCATGAAAGTATGGAGATGCCCAAAATGTACGAGACTCAAACAAGTAACGAAACCAATCATTATCACCCAAACCATATTCCTCTATAATACGATTCCATAAATCCTCAAAAGTTTTGGAATCTATAGATTTGTTCCAAACAATGCCATTCAACTTCCTCCTAAACACATCGTCCTTAGCTAAAACCGGTCCAACCTTCTCGCCAACCTTGCACATTATATGCCACATGCAGAATCTATGTTTTGATGTACCAAACACACGAGCAACTGCAATCTTGACAGCTGGATCTTGGTCAGTAACGACACAAATAGGTTCATGACGCATGGTTTTCTTAAATCTCTCCAAAAGCCAAACATATGAGTCAACGTCTTCCCTCGTAAGTAAACCAGCACCAAATGTGATGGATCTCTTATGGTTATCAATTCTAGTAAATGGGACAAACACCAAATTATACCTACATAATGCACAACCCAATAACTACTGAATATACTAAATATAACAAAACACACTATTTGAAATCAAAATATGCACCAATATATTATACAGAATACACAATAACTATAAATTACTAACCTGTTAGATCGGTATGTAGCATCGAATAAAACAACATCACCAAACAATGCAAAGTTCTTCCTTGATACTGCATCTGCCCAAAAAACCCTTGTAAGCTGATCAACGTCATATTCAAACTCGAAAGCCTCACACAATTCACGCCTTTTAAAAAGCGTATCTATGAATAGTTGAGCATCACCATTCAATATGTATGCCATCAAATCACGCTTGAAATTCTTAAAATCCACCCCAGTAGCCCCAACATTGGAATACTCACCAATAATCTCCTTAAACAGCTTATACGATCGAACATACCCAATATTTGCCCGAACACAACTTGCAATGAACATTTGATGGCCAGTATCAAGACTACGATTCACCTTTAAAAACTGCTTAGCAATAATTGAACACATCACATGAGTGTGTCATTCCTCCAAAAAATGCACAACAAACAGTCCATTAGACTTACGCTTAAACACCACTCTAGCCTTGCAGCCAACCCTATTTGTCACCCTCCGTCTCTTCACAACAATAGGCTTACCATCACCAACACACGTAGATTGAGTACTATAAATACTCTGTTTAAACCCCTCTCGGCTACAAAATACCTGTCTCTCCACAACAACACCATCCCTCCTCCTCCGAATTGTACCCTGTCTACAATCAAAACCAACATACCCAGCATACTGTTTATAAAAAACAATAGCACAATCCAATGAATCAAACGTTTGCCCCACCACATGCTTCAAATTATCAGTGCAAACTGGACGCCAATACTTAGTCAACCCAGGAGACGTTTCCAAAACAAATGCATTGTCTTCCGCCTCAACATCAGTCAAACAGTGTTCATTGGCACCCTAACCACTAGTCTCTACAGCAACATCAGTTGAATTCCCTTCATCACACTGACTCCCACTTCCTTCTACGCAACCATCAATATGACCACCATCAGTGGAATGCTCTGTATTGCATACACCACCACTGCCTTCTACACCGGCATCAATTGACGTATCTTTATCACAAACGAAGCCCACCGGGTCCATAATAATAGCTGCACACCATGTATATATAATAACACACTAAAATAACCAATGCATGACATTTGGTAACTACAAAACACATAAAATACTATACTACTTAATATGCACCACAATCATGCAACTTTCACACTATATTAACACAATAACACACAACATCGTAACAACAATAGTGACTTATCTCACCACCAGAAAAATATCAAACCAGATAAAAAAACGCTATACTACATTAATATGCACCACGATGATTCAAATTTCGCACTGTATTCACGCATTAACGCACAACGTCGTACAGCAACATCGACTTATCTCACCCCCAAGAACAATATCAATCCATATAAAACCGATGTAACACATCCATGACATAACAAACGCATATTATTATGATCAAAATAAAACTACAAACGTCAATACGTCAATACATACCATTCTCCATCGCACAAACTGCCCGGTATACTCAGATTTCCCTACCAACTGATCTCCAGCGACCTTCTCCGATTTGCGAACCGATCGCGATCTTGAACTTCCCGAAATTGCGATGTGATCGCTATCTTGATCTTCTCTTCACCAAGTTGCCGATTCTCTCCGAGTTTACATATATAGAACAGAACAGAATAGAAATTACCTTATATACATTCCCGTAACCATGTAAGTGAAATTACATAACTACCCCCACTTACCAAAACGCGAACAACTCTTCCTTATTTTAAAAAATACGCCTCTGCCGTTAGATTGCCTTGATCCAATGGTTCAAATATAACCACACTGCCACACCTAACTACACTGCCACATTTGAGCGTTATTATATATATATATATATATATATATATATATATATATATATATATATATATATATATATATATATATATATATATTATATATGTTTTTTTAGGATAAAAGGAATAACTTCATAAAACCAAAAGTGCAATGCATGTAGGAATAGTAAAAAGCCAAATATGTGAACTAGTATAAGAACGAGCAAATCTAGCTAACGCATAGGCAGCTCTATTCACTAATCTAGAAATAAACTGGAAAGACACTATCTCAAAGTGTCATTGTAAGTCGCGGCACTCGTTAATGACGCATCCTACAATCGTGAGATCCGACAATGAAGCCTTTAGCAAATTACATATAGTCTGACAATCTGAAAAAACCTTGATTTTCACAAAGCCTCTGTCCTTAGCCCACGATAGAGCCTCTTTAATCACCATTACTTCCACCGTGTGTGCATCGTTAAGACACCGAACTGGACCAGACTTCGCTGACAAATAAACTCCTCTTGCGTCCTTCATAACAACACCATAATATGCTTCATTAGTGTCCAAAAAAAACAGCAGCATCTACAAAAATTTTGATCATATCTTCTGGGAGATTCATATCATACAAATGAGGAGAGACCGTTCTTCCACTAAAGGCCACCACACCTAACTGCTACGAATCATTCGCCATTCTAAACACCTCCATTCTTACAGCCAATGGCTGCCAAGCCTTTTGTCTCCATACAATATCATTCCTCTCTCGCCATAAGCACCAACAAAGCGCCACACAATTCAAAATAGACACCTTACCAGCGTTTGCCAACCTCCTAGCTAGTCATGTAGTGAAGTCGTCGTCCAAGCTTGGGAGAGGACAACCAATGATATCTTGTCATAATGGAGCAACCTGCAGACAGCCACAAAGGATATGCCTTAGCGATTCTAGGTGTTGTCTATACAAAGAACAAGAAACATCCACCTCCATACCCTTTGCAGCCAAAGCCACCTTCATAGGAATAACGCCATGAAAACATGCCATAAGAAATTTTGAACAGTGGGGGAATTTTTAATTCCCAGATGTTGCGCCAAACAGCAGTGTTTGACTGATCATTATCATTCGACTCCGTAAGCAAACGCTAGCCATGCTTAATTGAATAAAGACCCCCTATGTCTCCCTTCCAGAGCCACTTATCATCAAACTGAGAAGCCACATGAATTCTAATAATAAGTTTCACATCTCTAGGCTCAAATATCTTATTGCATAATAAACACAGTATTCCAATCAAATATCTCATATATATGTTTATTATCATTAATTATACAAATAATTTTAGTACATGATTTAAATTTCTACAATCATGTGACAATAATATATATGCATCTCATATTCATTCAGTACAAAACTTGAGCAATATCTATATCAAAATTCATTTTAATCAATGTGATTTTAATTCATGCTTGCAATATATACAATATCTTCAAATAAATAACACATTGATATTTTGAAAGAAATTCGGAAAGATTTTGACATATTTTGCTCATTCACTTTTATTGACTATCAATCATAAATAAATTATTGTATAATTTAATAAACACATCATACACGGTTGGAAATCTTTGATTTTCCGACCACCTAAAAAAATGGTCGAAAAGGTGATATTTTTTCAATTTTTTGTTGAAGGGAAATAAGTCAAAATTTCCGACAACCTTTACTTAGTGGTTGGAAATACCAACTACAAAGTAAAGGAGGTCGAAAAAAAATTCAACATATTAAATTTTTTAACCTGAGTTGGGAATTTTCGCCAATCTTTGTAATAGCTGATTTTTCTGACCACTTTACAAAATTAGATGCTATTTCCGACCACCTTGTCAGTGGTCGGAATAGCGACAAAGGTTTTTATTCCGGATACCATAAGTAGTCGGAACAAGGACTTCTGACTTGATTTAAGATCAATTTTAGGTTGTCGGAAATTCCTTAATTTCCAGCAGTGATATCCGACTCTGACAATAAATTGATGATTATGTCCCAAGAGCTTATTGATTACCACCTCTAACCATATAACCCCACAATTCTCGTAGTGGTCAAGATATTTGATTTCATATCTATCAGATTGTGTATGTATGTTTTCATACCTGAACGTCTACTCCACCCAAGTAGATCCCTTTAATTGATGATTCTTGAGCTAAATTTTCATTTTTGTCATCCTCTGACCGTGATTCTCAAAAGCATGCAAGAGGAATTTCTCCATCCGGAAATTCATAACCCAGTATTTTCGCTTCTAAAAATAATGAAAACCAATTATAAATTGAATCGTTGATGATGTAAATTAAAGACACTCGAACACCTATAATGCATTCATAATTCATGTGCATTATTCATAATTCATGTGCATAAATATAACGCATATATATATATATATATATATATATATATATATATATATATATATATATATATATATATATATATATATATATATATATAGAGGCGGGTTCAGGTGCGGCAGTGTCTTACGGTGCGGCAACACCAATAGTTCAACAAATATGCACCATCAACGTTAGGAAAATACACCACACAAAATAGAGTAAACAGAGCCCTGCATCACCAAACACACACCACTAGGTGTGAGTAAAAACACCACACACTGTTCGAAAATACACCATTGGGGGTGGTGAGTTATATGGTGTATTTTTTTGAGTCTGTTGTGTATTTTGTGATGTTTTATTGTATTTCATTATGGTGTGTTTTTATTACACTGTTGGTGCATATTGTTAACACTGTTGGTGTATTCTGGAATTTCACCGCCCCGCCGCATATGAGCGCTCTTCTATATATATATATATATATATATATATATATATATATATATATATATATATATATATATATATATATATATATATATATATATATATAATAGGTGATACTCAGCTTTGCACATAAGTCGTAGAATTGTTTGGGAGGTGGTGAACACCAGCCTCGATGGTTCGACGTTGGCAACGATAGGTCTTGGAGCGCAAATGCACGTCCCCGAAATAAGAACGCATGTCATCCTCTTATTGTAAGGATATTCATTTTTACACTTATCAGTATGAAATTCGCATCTTAGCTTTGTGGAAAAATATAAGAAGTGCTATAAGAATAACACTTTTAACTATTGAAAAATATCATCAATGTCAATGGAGGCTGGCAACTTTTGTGGAAGAGAGAACAATTATGGATGAAAAGGAGTCTATGTCGTGTTATATAACATTGCCTTAATGGCACGTTTAGTTCGCAAAATAAGCCTGAAATAGAATAGCATTCTCAATAATAGGCATATTCCTTTGTTTGGTAAAACATTATATTCCCAGGAATAATGTTCCTGGCAGTGAACTATTCCCCTCGCAAGAGGAATAGCGATTCCTGGCTCCTCTTAGGTATTAGGCTATTCCGGAGAACCTAAGTTGTTATTTCCTATTTTACCCCTCCATTAAATCTAAAATTTGCATAACTTTCATGTTCAAACTCTTCCGCCTTCTCAAGATATTTATCATGGTGAATGTATATGGTGCTTAATTTTTTATATGATATTTTCTATTTAGTAGATTTTTTTTATAAATATCTAAATATATATATTCACACACACACACACACAATGTACATTATTCTAACACATAATGTACATTATTCTAACACATAATATTCATGACAATGTTTTGGACCGTGATCCACACAATAATTTGTCAAATCTGTCCTTTACATTAATAAAATGAATTATATTATCTAGTCAATATATTAAATATAATCCTTTTTATTGTGTGTTTAATAAGAGTGAATAACATTTTTATAAGGTAAATATTTACCATTATTTATAAATTGAAATGTCGAAAATAGAGAAAATTTTAATTTTGGTCCAATGACTATTGGAGTTGTGTTAATTGCAACACTTTGACTTTCAAAAATGTTAAGTTAGTACCTTGACTACGCAATTTCTATCAATTTTAGTCACGCCGGCCAAATTTTCGGCCAAATCTCACCGAAAAATTTTAATAGGTCAAATAATGAGAGTATTTTAGTCATTTTACTCGTCTTTTCTTCTCCGATGAGCTTCCCTCCATTTCCGACGACTTCTTCTCCGATTATTAAATACTCCACTTGTTAATGATTGACCCTAATGGCATAAATCATTGTTGTCGATAACGATGTCGTTTTCATAATTCTTTTCCATTATATGGATCTGAATCGGATCCGACCAACCCGTCTTC